CAAACTAAAACCAAAGAATCCATAAAACGGTTTATACATTGATAGGTTTTCCGAAAGACATGCTATATGTGTGAAAGCACAAATAATCGGCTAAAATAGCCATTCTGTAGAAAATGGATTACAAAGATATGAACAATCGACTATTTAATATGAATGATCTATAAACTCATCGACCTAACCTATTATCCTTAATAAAGGTTTCAACCGGATCAATGGCAAAATGATAAAGACAACAAATCAAGCCTTTAAAATAAATAGACCCATTCACACTTAATGAATACGAAGACACACTATAAGCGTTAAAGTGCAAAGCGATCACTATTTAGCCGATGTAGGCATAGCAAATAGCCAAGGTCATACCGTCAAAAGCAAATCTACCAAATAATATCCTCCGATCTAAAGTACTAACAAAGGGGGGTCGATCGATCGATACATCCATAATAGCGAGCTATAAACCGATTCAACTAGCTAGTAAACCTTCTCAAGATCGACATACCTTAATCACAGACTATGCACTCATCAAGATCAAGTAGAACAGCCGGTGAAACATAATCATCGCTTAAAGTAAGAATCGTCGCAATGTAGCAAAATAAACGATGGACTAAAAAGGATGTGAGGTCGATCTAGATCGATCTCGATCGAAAGCAAAGTTGATATTGCTAAAACTAATGACAATAAGAACATCAACAAGATCGGTAACTTAATGAATCTACCCAAGGACGCCACCCTTAGGTAGAGCCGATAACTTAACCTTAAGCTAATTCGAGCAAAGGGAGGTCGAACTTAACCGATGCAAACGCATTTGAACTAGATAAGAGTCGATAACTAGCTTATACTAGAGCTCGTAGTGGAGGTCGAACTTAACTCGATGCAAATTTTTACAAATGTAAGTATAAGCCATGACGGTATTTTACAGACAAGCCGGAGGTCGGCCGAACTGATGCAGCCTCGCTTGCTGAAGAACTCACCGAGATCTATACTACTCCTACTCCTAAGGGTTGGCATAAAGCCAAAAAAAAGTAATTGGTATTGATTGATTGATGTCTTTACAATAGCCGGGGTCCAATATTTATACCCGAACCTAAGCATGAATCATACTCAAGTATGACTCCTTACAATCTTTGATATAAAAGAAAACATTCATAACTTTAAGATAACTTGGACCCTAATCTTTCCCTTTTTGTAGAGTCTGATATGTCTTTTCGACGCCAACCATAGCTCATTGGCATTATCTGCTGATGTCATCCGAAGAGAGCCGATCCTAGTGCTACATCTGAATCAGCTGATATTGATCCTTATGCAATCGATTCCTTGATGACTCAATCTTGGAAGCTTTGAGTTCCCACGTTCTTCTTCCCAAATTTTGGTGTAAACAGGCAGTTACTAGGACGGTGACCATCCGACTTCACCAGCCTCTAGAAAAATGGGGCGGTGCCCATGGCGGTGGCACCGCCCTAGGAGTGGCGGTGCACCACCACTGTCGTGGTAGTGCCAGCCCCTTCTCTGTTGTTCTTGACCGAGGCCAGGTGGGCACCACCCTAGGGCGGCGGTGCCACCGGACAGGGGTTGGGGGTGCCCCAAGGCAGCACCTCAAACCTGGTTTCGCCTCCTTTCTCCACCTTTGCCAACACCTTTGCAAATGTGCTAACACTCCAAGTGATACACCACCTTGTGCACGTGTGTTAGCTTTTCACAAACATTTCCTAAAGGATTAGTCACTTCTTTCACCACGCTACTCGATCCTAACTTGTATGCAATGTTAGATCGCTCAAGTGGTACTAGATAACCGATAAGCAAACAAGTTTGTCCCTCTTGATAGTACGACCATCTATCCTAAACCCGGTCATAAACTTCTCTACACACCTATGACCGATGAAATAAAATGCCCTACAAATATACCTTTGCCTTGCACATTCTATTTCATCTCCTCCAATGTTGATGCAACGCATGCACCAACCAATCACAAATGATATGATCCACTTCATATCATCATGTGACCGTATTGGTTCATCAATCTTGACATCACTTGCTTTTCATCGTTGCCTTCGTCCATCGGCGCCAAGTCTTGCTCAAGCTTCACCGCCATGCGGTCCATCGCTCCAAAGCCTCCAACTTGTCCTTCACGCTTGCAACCGGTCCATCAAGCCAAGTCTTGTCTTGATCTTCTTCACTTTAGTCACATAACTCAATGTCATGTCTCATATATAATGAGCTCCTTCATCACATGTGTGAGCCTTGCAACAAATCTAAGTCATTTCACCTCCATGGCATGTATTGCTTACACACATGTACATGTGGACTAATCACATGTATATCTCATATTTAAACACATTAGTCCACCTAGGTTGGCACTCAATTACCAAAACCAAACAAGGACCTTTCAGCCGACTAGGACAATAGCAGCGAAACCGGTCTAGCCGGTTTGGGGTAGTGGGACCGCCCAGTCCGGTTTGGCAAACCAGCATTATCCAATATATTCTTGATATTAGTAACATATTATACTTGCCTAAACTCCATGTTAGCACATTTTTGCATGTCAACAGATGTGATCCAAGGATGCCACCCTTCAATGACAGAATATTAGCCTAAACCTGGGTAAGTGCATTGCTACATGTCAGCAGTCCTATACTCCGCCTCATGTCGTGGTCGAGAGGATTTTGTTGACGTGAGGAAAGAGAGGGGAGGAGAAAGAAGTCGTTGTTTTGCGAAACAAACAACTGGCTCATGAGCTAAAATTTAAGACTATGAGACAACTATTGTACTATTGTATGAGTTGTTGCTGTCATGCAACTCACAACTTTTATTCTATGCATAAATTGAGAAATTTTGAGTTATTATGAGACAACTTAAAAAACAATCATATGTTGTCTATTAAGTCGTCTTAAAATTATGCGGCACTACATGATACCGCCTACGAGACAACACCATATACCTGCCCTAATATCAGAAACTCAACGTTTTGTCACTATATAAAAAATATGTTTTCCGGTGGCTGCATTTGTACTTACGATATGATTTTGTTAACCGCCGTGTAAAAGGTAGTAAAATCACAATTTTTCACAGGCGTCAATTGAGAACAAGCCCCTGGTCTAGGCCTCGCATCCAACCCCGGCAAAGGAAATCGAACGCCAAGTATATTGGACTAGGTTGTTGATCCACACGCTTGGAGGGCTGAGCCCATATATACCAGTATTTTTTTTATAGTATAAGTAAACAACAAGGAGAGAGAGAGAAGAGGGTGACGTGTAAGGACATTAGTGGATCTTCAACGAGTAATTAATATAAAGTTTTAGGAGAGTGCTAGATAAGTTTATATTATTTTTTGAGCATCTTAACAATTTCAAAAACCTAAAAACTAGAAAGTTATAGATCTCATTGAGTGCTAACTTTCGTACTAAGGTGGAGCATAGTTTTGATACGGAGAAAGGCATATATGTCATTTTGACGCCCACTTAACACTGTTAGTGGAGGAAATGTATGGTAGTGATATTTAGGGAAGAAAATTTTAACTCGGTGCTAGATAAGAAACTTTAAATTTGGGAGTGCCTTAGAAGGAAGACCGATTTATTTTGATTCCAAATAGATAACTATCTCCTCTATTAAGTAGTGCTCACACAATGTAAATCAATTTAAATATTAGCGGCATGCTTACACAAACCGCTTTATATACAAGGCTGGATCCAGCGTGGGTGTTGGGGGCAGAAGCCCCACTACCCCGTTGGGTTCCATGGAACAAAGAGAAAGGGAATTGAAAAGAGCAAGACGGAAGAAGAGTAGAACGAAGAAGGGAGATGAGCATCCCCTGGATTTAAATTTTGCACCCATCTCTGCTTGTCTAAATGTTTTCTAGAATTTATATAAAAAGCTCAAAAGAGTAAAAGAAAATTAATCCAGGAAAAACTTGCCAACCAACCTCTCATGATCGCAAGTTACAAGTCATAGGGTTTTTAGCACCTAAGGTCATCTAGCATGCATAGTGTACTCTTCTCGTCCCCACAAAAAGTGTCATTCTCACTTATGGATGAATCAAACAATTTTAATCTGATCAAATATATATGTAAGAAAAGATTAATATTTATAATATGTAATTAATACTATTAGGTGGATCATTGAATATATTTTTATAATAAATTTATTAAAATACAAATATTGCGAATAATTTTATAACCAAAACTCAAGAAAGTTTGACGAATCGAATTCTATAACAATATAATATTTTTTTTTTGATGGAGTGAGTATTCTCGTTTGAGGGACGTCCTTGATCCAGCTTGACCCTCACTAAAACGCATGATATACCTTAAGTAAACCGTATTTCGCACATTGCATTCGCACAGATTCCTCCAATGATAATTTCTATTCTTGACAAAATGTTCTCATCATCCCATTATTATCTCTCACAACTAAAAGACTAAAGAGAAGATATCGCTTTGGTGCGACATTTCGCCCTCTCCTCCCGCTGTGAATGATAATTCAAAGACTCTCCCCAATCGCCACCCACCATCCTGCGCCGCCCATTGCACCGCCTCGCCCTCGCCCTGATCACGTTCTTTCCCTTCCTCAACGATCTCCGAGCGCACGTCGAATGCGGACGACGTCGGCCTCTTCCACGATCTCTACGCAGACGTCGTCATCGATCTCCTCGCAGAAGTCAAACTCTACTGCGATCTCTTCTGCATGGACGACGTCGGCCTCCTCGACGATAAACCCCGAACGCCCACCCTGGACTCGTAAAAGATGAAGCCTACCACAATCTCCTCGCACGGCGTAGTTCCCCCACCCTAGCCGTCGCAACCGCGCCGACGCCCTCGAGGTCGCACCCGCGCCGCGGCCATCCTTGCCGTGAGGCAGGCAAGCAGTAGGATCTGCACGCAACACGGCCGGGATCCACTGCTGGTCACCGCGCCCAATCTGGGCCAAGGTGAGCCCCTCCCTCACTCTCCTCCTCTCCCTATCCCTGCCCTTTCCCTCTCCCTCATTATTTCTCGCTCTCGCAGTCACAGATGTGCGTCAAGGAGTCCGACGTCCACGAGGTTCTACTGTACCGGCCGGGGCTGGTGACAGTAGCGACATCCTTCATGACCGCGGCCTCCGCAGTGTTCATGCTGGAGGGCAACGCCGTCAGGCAGGTCGCCGACCTACGCCGTCGGCGCCGCGAGGCTAGGCCTGTCGGCTGTCGCTGCTCTTTATCCACATCTACGTCACCCAGATCAAGCGCTTCCTCCAGGCGCATTGGGCGGCCGGCCACTGGACAAGGGCCTGGTGCAGTGCGTGCTGGAGCACCTGGCCGCGCACTGGTTTGTCGGTCCCACGTTTGCTGCACTCATAGCGGAAGGTATATGCAAATGCTCCGTGTGTTTCTTATATCAGAATATGAGTGGTGTGAATGCAGTAACAGTGGCCATGCTCATGGTAATCCAGTTTGCTAAAACCTTGCATTGCATTATTGTCCAGTTTGTCAATAATGTTGATAGTAATACATCCATAATTAAGCCTTTGTTATTTCATTTCAGCCTCCAATTCTGTGGCTGGACATCCTAAATTTTTGCAATCCAACCTTCTGGTGTCATTATTGCAGTGCAGAACATGAGGCTTTGGAGATGATCCTAATGTGAGTTTACTGAAAAACCGTATATTTAGTTCCTTGTAATTTATTTTCTTTTATAGGCATGATGCAGTAGTGTAATTTAGAGCAACAATTTAGATAGCAAGTGATGATGCAATAGTATGGTTGCAAATTAATTAATCCTGGTTCTTTCATCGTGATGTACTTGAGTGCTTTGAGAAAAAGTCCTATTACTGCTTTGAGAAAAGAAAACCAGGAAAAGGTTCTTTCAGTTGTTATTTCACCAAACAACACTATAGGATTCTTTGAGATAACTAAAGAGCTGGACAACATGAAAGAGATCAAGGGAGGTGCGGCACCCTCCCCTTTGGGGGCTCCTGCTCCTGACCGGTGGCGCTCGTGTTCGTGGGGGTGGTGCCCTGATCTGTCAGGAAGGGGTGGCTCCAACATGGCTGTGCCCACTCGACGACGAGGTCACATTGGGCCTTCACTCTCTCTCGCTATCCTCCCATGTTCGGGGCACCAACACAGAGGATCTTCGTTCGAGCAGTGAGGAGCACCATTGCAGTATCAGTTTATGAGTAAATCCAATGTAACTATGATCTAAGCTGTATTTTTATGTGTAATGCAGTTCTTTCTGCAGCAGGTGGAATAAGAGTTCAGAATCATAACATGAGTACATTTTTTCCTTTTTTTTGTATGAGATTATATCTTTGTTTATTGTTGACTCTGGTGGGCTATTTCCTTGATCCGGTGAGGAGCATAACTTCCTTTACCTATGCTGCTTTTAATATCTTCAATGTTCATATTAATTGGCTTATTCTGCATGCAACGCCGTGGGAGATATAGTTGGGTGGGCATATGACAGATTTATGTTATTGTAAAAATTCCCAAGGTTTTCATGTCGTTCTACTATGTCATTCGCATAAGAATTATTATTCCTTTCCTAACAATTAATTTGTAAATTGTAGCTGGGGCCATCACAGATCTATGTTATTGTATAAATTGATGGCAGATACTATTATTATTTTATATGATTTGTCCATGGACTTCAAAGCCATGCCCATGCCCTCATTAACATGACAGCATGGTTCATGCCAGCAAGTGCACTGTAGTGAGTTATGAATTGGAATATTCTCGGTTTATTAGTTTGTTCATGGAAGAGTCTGGATTTGCAGTACTGATCTGTCGCACATTACACGCATTATGTCATGTGTTTTCCTTCTAGCCCTATGCAAACCTATGGTGAGCTTCAAAACAAATTTTGGCTCTCTATTCTAATTTCTTTTGTGCTGATACATGTATTCCTAAGCAAACTAATTTGGGTGAATATATACATGGAGTTTGCCTCCACCTGTGCATTTTCTAACACTGTTGGTTCATATATATTTCTTGTGTTTTCTTCTAAGGTTGTTGGGCTCTAGTGAGCGACACCTTGAGAAACTGGCATCACCAGCATGTAAGGTTAGGGTCCAAATCACTTGCAAATGAGATAGTAGGGCTGGATCAGGTATGTCATTCAGCCACTTACCGCTTTTCTTTTCCATTCAGATTGCTCATGGCTAATTAATGTGGATTGTGTTTCTGAATTTCTACTTCCTAATTGGTATTCAGGTGCCAGGTATGAGTGCATGCTCTGCGCCTCAAGGACCGGTGAGGGCCACAGACCAGGTACATGCATGCACGTTGAATTGTTTTATGACGCATGGGCAATTTTTATTAGGATAAACCTATGCATATATGATGGTATGAAAATGCGGTGGAATTTATTTGTGTATTTATTGGCACACGAAAGAAATGGATATCGAAGATTTATTTCTGTCGATATAAAATATTATCTTAGTCACATTATGTAAAGGTCTATACAGTAGAGTTTATGAGTACGTGACGCCACGCTCTCCGTGACTATATTAATTTTATGAACTTTATCTTTTAAATTAAATATCACTTTAACGTTGGTATTTAATTTCAAATGTTATCGTTCGATTCATGTGTTTTTAAGTACAAAATTTAGTTTTTCCGTATCAACACGGGCACCAACCTGGTCAGGGAAAAAAAAGAAAAAGAAGACCGGGCAACGTACGACGAACGTTCCACTCGGCCGCAGGCCCAGCGCCGGTGGGCATAAATGCCAGCTCGGTCCCGCTCTGAAACCCGTCTCGCACGCATACCGACACCACACCACAAGCGAGGGACCCGGGACGGGGCAAAGAGAGAGAAAAAAAAAGAGAGAAGACGTCTCTCTCCTCTCGCCGTCCCCGTTCCCCAACCTCCCGTCTGTTCGCCTGCAAAAGGTGAGAAGAAGCCTTTTCCGTGTGAATTTTTTGGGTGAAATTTTTTCGGCCTCCGCTCTGGTCAGATCGGCGCGGGTGAGCTCCGGCCCCTGCCGATCCGGATCCGCCCCCATCGGCTCGTGTGTTTTCCCTCCAGTATTTGTTTGTGTGTATTTTTTCCCTCTTCCCTTTGGTTGGTGCGGCTGTCTCGGGTAGATCTGCTGTTTGGTTCGCCCTCAAGGTGCGTGGCTGTGGTGTCGCGGTTTTCACGGTGGAGTTTGTTGGCTGGAGTCGGATTTGGTGCGTGGCTGCTTGGGCGTTAGGCGATCCTTGGGGCTCGGTCTTCCGCGCTCGTATTTTGGATTCCACGGCTGTTTCCGTGGGATTGTTGTTTTAGATAGGTGAAGTTGTTTGTTTACTGTGTAGGTTCCGTAAGAATTGGCGGATCGCGCTCGTGCAGGCTGTGACGAATTTGCTTGATGGTTGGGGCTGATCTCTGAGATGCCTGAGCTGCTGTACCGATTTCACAGCAGTACCGATTGTACAGCGACTTATCATGGGCAGGCTTAGGTTGTTTTGTTTTTATTACCTGTAGCTTATCCTGTTGTGTTTAAGTCGTGTATTTCTGAAACATGATTGGGTAAGAGTATTTGGCTACTTGCAAGGGTGTTGGAACAGCTATAATCTGTGTGTATATGGGGTGGACACCTACAGAAAACCAATTCAGACCTGTGAGGCATTGTGACTTTCTTTTAACAAAAAATTAGGCTGTCTGCTACTTAAAGTTGTTAATATTTGTGTGCTAGATCATTATACCACTTTGCTAAAGTATCAAATGTAATGTCAAATCATCATGAGGATGTGATTGAATATGATATTTAGTTGAGGTGCAAGTGGATTAAGAGTGATAATTGAGCCAAACCTGACTTAATCATTTGATGGTGCCTAATGTTGATTGGTCTTCATATTGGATTTGGCTGCCAACTGATATTATGACAAAATGATCAAGCATGCAAAATCTTAGCAAGCATGAGAGCACGGAACCCAATGTTCAAGCTTAGGCACTGGCTGCATAACCATCCAAGTATATCGAGCTAAGGTGAAAATTTGTTTGTCTAGAGTAATTGATTGACGTCCTAAACTGAAAACTAAAGTTTGAATCAGCCATATAGGTTCACAAATGTTTGATACTGGGACTGTCATGTAACACATTGTGTCATCTGATTTAATTAATGGGCTTGATATTTGCTTCTTGTGTCTTGTGTGGCCAGTTTGCTGAATTCTCAGCAGCACAACAAAATTTCAAATCTGTTGTTCCTCATTTACATCCCTGCTTCCAAAATATACAGATAGATATGGTTGACTACAGTCTTTTTACTATGTGTTCATTGATTAACCCATCGTTGTAATGTATATGAAAATACAGAAGTTTGTCATGGCATCGAAGCGTATCCTCAAGGAGCTGAAGGACCTGCAGAAAGATCCCCCCACATCATGTAGTGCAGGTACAATTGTGAGTTATTACTGGAACTGTGGATGACCAATGTCTCCAGACTTTTGCATACCCCACGGGTCGCAGTTCATGTCATCTTGACTGTACTATATTGATAGCCTTCACATGCTCACTTTCTTTTCTCCCAATGCCTTTCTTTCACTTCTCATGAACTGCAAATTTCATCTGTACAATGTTCAGGTCCTGCTGGTGAGGACATGTTTCATTGGCAAGCAACAATTATGGGACCACCTGACAGTCCCTATGCTGGCGGTGTTTTCTTAGTGAACATTCATTTCCCGCCGGATTACCCCTTCAAACCTCCAAAGGTTAGAACTCAGGAGGTTTATGTTGTTTACAAATTCTCTCTTTTATTATTCACTTCAGTTATTGTGTATTATGCCCAATTCCAAGCTTTATAGTCTTGCATAGCCTGATTGTGGTTACCTTTGATAAGTATAGATTTCTTCTGGGTAAAAATTTATGAACAAAAAGGTTCTCTGCTTTTCCTCCTGCTGCTGCTAGTATCATCATGCTGGGGGAGATTTATCATTCAGCATTATCCATTCTGCTATGTAATAGCTTCACCTTTCTGGTAGTACTTTTCTCTATGGTCAAGGTCAACTAATAATATGGTTGTAGTTTTTTTGTTAGCTGGCATAAAAAACATCTTTTAGTTTTTTTCCTGTTAATGCATCGAATTCTGGATGAAGTATCCCTGTTATACCCTTTCAAAGTTGTAGTTTGGAAATGTGTTAGTGATTTGTTACTCCTGAAGCTGTAGTCTTAAGCTCCACTCAGATTATCTCAAATCAAAACTTTTCATGTTATAACAATTTCAGGAAAAACGGTACTATTAAGAATATCTTGTACTATATGTGTGTCTGACATACCCATCTACATGGCCTATAAATTATCTGCTTTGGCATATTCCATCAGTGGCTGGACTTCTTTATGTGCCATCCCAGTCCGAAGGTTGCATTACTTATATTATATTGTTTGAACTTTTTCATTTTTATTTAATCTTTGCTGCCCTGTTCAATTTAGGTTTCTTTCAAGACAAAGGTCTTCCATCCTAATATCAACAGCAATGGAAGTATATGCCTTGACATTCTCAAAGAGCAGTGGAGCCCTGCTTTGACAATTTCTAAGGTCATCCTGAAGACTCATCTTTTTTCTACATGTGCTATAGCTTCCTCTTTTCATATTTTTTTATGTTTATAAAATGAGTAAATCTAAATTTAGGATGACACAAGATTGTTATACTTATGGTTATCACTTATTTTGCATTGATTAACTTAGCATAAATTTGTTTTCTTAATCCAAACTTGTTATGTACATCTTGAGAATTGGAACATTCACTGTCTAATCCTTGATGTTTTTGTGTGATGTCTTTGTCTGTCAATCTTACTATTTGGGGTTGCTATTTATGGATCAACTGTTGATGCAATGACTCCATATTTAATTTAATTGAAAAAAATCAGATGTTCTTTTGCCTTTTTATTTGAGTAAATATTCTGTCATTTCTTATATCACACATACTTCACCACATCTCTGTGGAAGTGTGGCATATAAGGGTCTTTCTCAATTCAATGTATGCTTCTATGAACTAATAACTTCAGAATACTGTTTGCTACTCCCTTTGTTCTGAAATATAAGGGATTTGAGTTTGTCTTGCGTCAAATTACCCTAAGATTGACCAAGTTTATAGAAAATAACAATAATGCTTTAGATATCAAATGAGCATTGTTAGATATATTTTGACATATTTTCTTAAATTACCTCTTCGATGTGGTAGGTGATACTCTTCTATATAAATTTAGTGAAACTAAGTCAAACTTAAGGTAGTTTGACTTAGGACAAACTCCACTCTTTTATATTTCTGGATGGAGGGAGTATTTATTACTCGTAACATATTACGTTGCTCAGGACTCCTTGCATTACATGATTTGTGCTGCTCAAATTCTAAATGGAGACTCTTGTTCCCAAAAAAAAATTCTAAATGAAGACTCATATTGTACTTTTATCAGCTATTCTGTAGTATGGCTCCTTTAGTAGTGGATTGGATAGGGATCATAGGATCTCCAGACTCTGGAGGGCCCCTTATATTTGTTCCATTTAGGGCCTTTCTGTTATGCATTGGCAATATGATAACATAGAGGATACTCCATCGGTTCCAAATTATAAGACGTTTTGGCTTTTCTAGAATCTATAGATACATTGCTTTTACTATGTAGCTAGACATAGTGTATATCTAAGTGCATACTATTGTACCTAGACATAGTGCAGTGGCGGATATAAGGCTAGGGCCAGTATGGCCATGGCCCTAGGCGTGAGAAAAAACACTAGAGTAATCCCTTTGTTTTTTCCACCTAAATCTATATACTAGCATTTGTCCATTAGCATGTGATCTGGTGTTAGTGGTTCATAATATTGGCCCTAGTCGCGAAAGTTCCCTAGCTCCGCCATTGACATAGTGTATATCTAAGTGAATAACAAAAGTTATGTATCTAGAAAAGTTAAAATGTCTTATAACTTGTAATGGAGGGAGTACTAATCTTTTTGGTAGCTGTCCAGCTGAAAATGAATTGCATGTTATGTTATGTCGGAAATGACATGTTATGTTGTGTTAGCCCTTGTTTAGTTTGCAAAAAGTTTTCCCAAAAAGTGCTACAGTACACGTCACATCGAATCTTGCGGTACGTGCATGGAGCATTAAATGTAGACGAAAATAAAAACTAATTACACAGTTTTGTTGGAAATTGCGAGACGAACATTTTGAGTCTAATTAGTCCATGATTGAACACTAATTACCAAATAAAAACGAAATTGCTACAGTAGCCAAATTTCGCACTTTTCGCGAACTAAACGCGCGCTTACACTTTTACTCCTGAAATTGAACAAAGATGCTATGATGCTCTGGTCTGTTGCTTAACGGTGTGTTGCTTTGTCGGATGTTCCAGGTCCTGCTCTCCATCTGTTCCCTGCTGACTGACCCCAACCCGGACGACCCACTTGTCCCTGAGATTGCCCACATGTACAAGACGGACCGGCCGAAATACGAGTCAACAGCCCGCAGCTGGACGCAGAAATATGCGATGGGCTGACGAATACCTCCTGCTCATCCCCTGACGATTCTTGTGTCGTCTCAAGAAATCGTTCATGGGTGCCATTGTTTCCTTGGATTTGTCGCTGGTCGTGTGTATCCCTGATCCATCTAGGATCGTATTGTAGTCTATGTTGGCCTACCATCATTGCCATCCATAGTGAGGTGGTTGGACATGCTTTGCCTATGCACCTATGCTTGCTGGGAGACCTTCCTTCGGGTCGGTGCTATTTGGTAAATGTTCGTCGAAGACATTGATTCCGTTGCCTCTGGTTCTTGCATACCCATGTGAATTATTTTGATTGTAGGCTGTTCACTGTCATGCACGTTCTCATTCATAGGTTTTCAGTCTTGTTAGTCCGGAAGTATGTGTTGCTGCAAGAGGTTTAATCTGGGTTTATATTATATATACTTCCGCCGTGTAAAGTTATACCGTGGCTTAGAGCATCTCGAAGAGAAGGCTAATAACACCCCCCTGCCCCCCCCCCCCCCCCCACACACACACACACACACACAAAAAATTGATATCTGTGTGATTAGTTGTAAAATATGGTCCAAACAGTTCCCCAAGACGTCTCCCTCCGGAAAAACGAGCGTGCGCCCCGCATCTCTGCAGAAGGAAGGCACGCTCCCAACAGTGCTGCTGGTACTACTACTGCTTTCTCTGGTGCTGCTGATGGTACTGGTACTGCCTTCTCAGCCAACGTCATCATTTGTCTGTCCCTGTCCCTGTTCGTCTCCCTCTCTGGCTGCTTGATTGATGCCTGCCTCCGTGTACTATTCGACAAGAGGAGGTGCGCTAGGATTCTGGAGACCAGCCTGCCCATGTACGTGTGTTGCTTGCAGGCACGAAGTCACCGTATATACCGACACAAAGGAACGAGCGGACGGAAAATGTCAAGATCCAACTAATCCGATCTCTGATCCAACTAACTAATGACGTGTCACTATTGGGGGCGGAAATATTAGGGAGCTGCTATGGAAGAAACTGATTTTGGGATACAATTGGTTTAAGAGGGCCTCCAATAATAAGTTTTGATGGTTAACCTTTAAGGGACCTCTTGAGATGCTCGAGCATGTTGCTCTACAGTTGGCTGGCTCTGGCAGTCTCGCAGAGGGGAGGGATGTCGTGTTTTCTACCGTTAGCAGCAGCCATCTATTGGCCCCACCTGTCATACAGTGCCTCACCTGCCTTATCTTCTTCAACCGTCCGCCCGTGCCGGCGCTCGGCCGCGCGACTCCGCCTGGCGCCAGCCAGGACCGCTCCCCCGCGCCACCACCACCCCCACGGAGTCGCCCGCCTGCACTGCCAGCCCGCGAAGCCGCTCACCTGCGCCGGCCGCCCGCGCCGCCCACCCGCGAGGCCGGTTGCTCGCGCCGCCGCCAGCAGCTCGCTGGATTCGCCGTCCACACCAGTGCCGCACGAGACGGCGCCTCACGCCGTTCATGAGGCGAATATTCGCATGCGGGAAGTGCAGGACGGTCCATCCCATATTCCCATCTCCGTTCGTCCCCTCGTCCAGAAGCCCACCGTTCCCGGCCGCTCCCATGCCAGACTATTCGAAGCGTTCTGATGATCGCACGCGCAGTCTCGCACCCGCCCCTATTTTGACGGCTAGCTTGCTATTACCGAGAAGGGCAATTCTGTCAACGTGCCGCCACGGTTATCAGGGAGCTTTGCCCCGGTAATGGCGGTGGCTCGTTCGCTCCCCTAGGCCCCGGCGCCACCCCCCGGTCCCTCCCTCCTGCCGCCCCCGCCGCGCCGGGGTGCCGTCCTCGGTCCTCCGCAGCCGCATCACGCCGCGCGACCGATCTCCCCTGCTGCGGCGTTTGGGAACGAAACGGAAACCGCCGTCCACGTTTGCTACATTAATTCCTTGGCCCTTGCAGAGGTACGTGCCGATTTCTCTTCCAAACAATGAAAATCGATTACATGCCATTGCTGTGATGGCGTGGGATGGGGAAAACTAACCTGCTATAATGAATAAATGATGCCACTGCGCTGTGTTCTAACCAGAATCTACATTTCCTACATTGTTGAAATGGTCAGCAGAATGATCGATAGAAGTTTCAGCTCTTAATTCCTTTTTCTTCTCTGAATGGTACTGGATTCTTGCATCCCATTGGGCCAAGTTGTTGAGCATTATTTGCCGCCCTCAATGCTTGTTTTGTTTTCTCCTTCCATGTTTTTTCTGTCTTCATGCAAATCAAACCCATTTGTATGCATCTCCTCATCGACCATTATCTCTTTAATCATCAATGGTAATGCTGAACTGCAATTTACTTTCCATGTTTTCGAGAACATGTGCATTTCATAAAGAAGAAAGAAAAAAAAATTTAATACAAGTGACAGAAAGAGTGATCGAAGAAGAAACTATTGTAGGGTGAGGAGGATGAAAAAGTGCCGTTGCTCATCCACTTTAGGAAAATGTCACTCTCATTTGGCCTGAGCTGAATGTGTTGTAAGCGTGCCTACTGCCTAGACTATATAAGGTATTGCAAGATGGTGGTGGTGGGGGACCGAGAGAGCAACCTAGATGTCACTGGCCCATCTCCTGTCTTGCAAGACTTTTTTTTTGAAAGAAAAAAAATGGCCATGCGAAAATGCTTCACTCTCGAGGGAAGCTGAACAAAGCCAGAGAGCGATATTTTGATATTTATGTGATCCTTTCGAAGGTGCTTGGTTTGTGGAACCACCTCACCTCATCTTTGGATGAGATGGTGCATCATAAGTTTATTCCCATAATTTTGTTTTAATGAATCACATTCTTTGCACTTGTACTAATTATTAGCTTGTGAAGGATGAGGTGGTGATGAACCAACTTGTTCCATTCCGCGAACCAAACCAAAAAAAAAAAAGGGAATGAGAAGATGATCAACCACCCCATTTCCTTAAACCAAACATGCAATTTGGTTTTGAAGTTTGTCTATAGGTGGCAACAGTATGTTAATCTTAAGAATAAACAAACTTTGATGGGTTTAGTTTGTATCATACTACTATCTAATCAGCATATTTCCTCCAACTATGCATGCCCACCGATTGCAAGCATTCATCAGGGTGGCACCCTCTTCTTTTTCTTGGGTTATTACTGTCATTGACGCAATTACTGATCTTTTATTTCCATGAGCAGAGTCCAGGGGTCCGGATATCCTGACGAATTACCTCGAGCCGATGGGGTGCTGTGGAAGCGTAAATCATCTCCTCTAACTCCATTACAATTTTATTTTGCTCGCCGTGTCATGCATTGCCATTCTGTTTCGTTTGATCTTCTTGCGTATACATACTTGATACATTGTTTTGCTAAAAAGAATATATAATCATATTATATATTAGCCATTTGCAGCAGTAGGCAGTAGCCAGTAGCCAGTAGCCAGTAGGTTTTTGCTCATGAATTTTCTGTTTGCAGAGTGCCGTAGATGATGAGGAACATCTGGACTACAGCTCCGGAAAAGTGACTATCATACCCGATCTAAAGTGTTGGGAACAGAAATTGGAGGAAGCGAATGAACTTGGGCAAACAGTAAGTACCCAAGATGAGTAGTAATAACAAACGCTGTGAATAAGGGCATAAGGAGTTTGCCCGGATCGCACAATTTTATGAGGTGTTTGCAGGCGCATTTGGCTGTCCGTTGCATGATTCCTTCAGGCTGTTCATCAGGTTAACCGTGTATGTTGACATGTCCACGTGTACAGGTTGTGGTAAAGTTCAGTGCAACTTGGTGTGGACCATGCAGGAATGCTGCTCCAGTATACGCCGAGCTTTCTTTGAAGCATTCTGATCTTGTTTTCGTCTCCATTGACGTAGACGAACTGCCGGTACATCAATATTCAGAATTCCATCCATTGATTTCGGTCTTCATTTGTTTTACTCTGTGCACAGAACAAAAATCTGAAGTTAAATACCACCTTAAAATGGTTCTCAGGAATTGGTCACACAATTCGATGTACGTGCAACTCCAACGTTCATCTTCATGAGAGACAAGAAGGAGATCGACAAGCTGGTTGGCGGCAACCAGGAAGATCTCCAGAAGAAGTTCGATCCATACTGCCAGTGCCAGTAGAGGTGATCCATGGCCAATTCGTCTGTCAGTATAGGATCAGAACGAGCACGGCCAAACATCTGATTGGCTGAAAACCGCGACAGATTAGAATTTTGCAGCCAGTTGATGAGCTCTCTCTGGGAGTGTCTGCATCTTCATAGGTTCGAGGGACTGACCAAAGGAAGTAGGATTTCTGTCTAGAATAATGTAAGGTTAGCTAGTGTCTGAAACTCTGCACCACATTGTTCAAACAATCCCATATACAGAAGAACAAGTTGTAACATCAGTTACCAGATGACTCCCTCTTGATGCCTCCCACGATTGGTTTTACAGCGAAAAATGCCAGTGCCATTGCTGTCCACTGGTATGCCAAGGATTCAACAATGCGCAATGTACACCGATGATGAATCGATCGGAGGATTCAATGTGTATAACTGTATATATCCTGTAGGTACCCATCCATGAGCCATGGATGGATTCTATTTGCTGAGCGAGAACTTGGACAGCACCGCCGCGGCCTGGTCGCCACCCAGGAGAAAATATGGGTGCCGCAATGCGGCCGCGGCAGACAGGCGGCCCCCGCCGTTGGCGCCCCTCTCCGAGATGAGCTTGGTGGCGAGGTCCCAGCCTCGGCCAGAGTCGAGGTCCAGGATCTGCAGGTCGGGTCTCCGCCGCGCGCTCTGTCGCCACCTGTTGAGGTCGTAGCCGGCGGACCTGAGCTCGGCGTTGAAGTTCTTGAGCCCCGACTGTGTCCGCAGCGTCGGTATGGCCATCTGCATCAGCACTATCCCCGCCGAGTACATGTCGAACAGGTCCGGGCTGTTCAGCTGCAACAAACGCAGAGATGGCTGCTGCTGTCAGTGGCTGGTCACAGACAGCGGCAACGCTAAGTCTGGACGCGAGGAGAAGTGTCTACCTGCCAGAGGATCGGGGAGAGGATGGCGGCGATGGGCTCCGGCGGGGGCTCGGGCGTCTCCTCGGGGAGCACGTAGAGCTCGGGCGGGCAGTAGTCCGGGTCGAGCAGGGCGCGGTCGGGCACGTAGTTCTTGCCGATGCGGAGGTCGGTGGCGGCTCCGAAGTCGATGAGCTTCACCTGCCCGCGGCGGGTGACGACGAGGTTGGACGGCTTGATGTCGCGGTGCACGATGCCCGTGGCGTGGATGCGCTTCAGCGACGTGATCAGCTGCCGCATCACCTGCTTCACCACCAGCGCGTCGCGCTCTAGCGTGCTCAGACCCTGCAGCACACGCCCGAACATGAGCCGCTCCAGGTTTGACGGGAATCCGCCACTCATGTAATTGGCCAACGTCCTGTCCCCCTATGATGACAATAAAAATATTAGATACGCTCAAACACAAATGACCTTGGTTCGAGTGTCATGCTAATAACTCGAAGGTCACAGGTTCGAGACCTGCATGGGCCATTTTAACTTTTTTTAAAAAAAAAATCATGCTGTTGGTTTTTTTTCATTGATCCCATGCTGCTGGTTTTGGTTTTTTTTTTTTTTCAAATTCACCTAGTTGAGTTCATTGATCCTATTGGGATCGGATCCTGAACTCGTAACAGGAAGTTGGGATCTTTTTTTTTGGGCAAAAACAGTTAAGTTCATCAAAATGTCAAAAGACCAAATGCAAATACCTCAAACTTCCAGACGAGCCACTTGCCGCCCTTGACGAACTCTGCCTTGTTCTTGTCGGCGACGAAGCTCCCGAGGAAGTCGGCGCACGACTCGGGCGCCGCCCTGGCCACGCGGTAGTTGAACCACTCCTCATAGTCCCCACACTCCTTCGCCCCCACAGTCATCATCTTGATCTGAACATGATCGAACCACACACACATCGATTAGTTTCAATGAGAACGATGATATTTTTAGATGAGATTTGTACAAGAATGGTGTTTTCACAGTTCACTGACTCAGGACAACACTCTGCCAATGGAGTGTGATCAATGGAGACTAAGAGTTTCTCTTAAGATAAAGATTTTCCTTTATTTACAAACAAGGGTTATCCTAACAAAAGATAATTTAGTTAAAAGACGTTGATAAGGTAGCCCCAAATATTGTTTTTGCAATACTGATGAAACCATGCAACACTTGTTTTTTGATTGCCATAGGGTGGCTATGTTCATTTGGAATATCATTTTCATCACTTCTGGCCTTCAATCACCTATCCAATATGTTTGGTACTTGGCTTAATGGGTTTTCTTTTCCAAGCCTAAAAATCTAAATTTTAGTTGGTGCGACTGCTCTATGTTAGGCTATTTGGTTGAGTAGAAATGACGTGCGTTTCAATAGAACTACAATTAATTCTTTCATGCAGGTTATTTTCATGAAACATGATGGATAAGAAGTTGGTCGCTGCTTTTTAAAGAAGAGGAGAGAGATGTTTTGAAGATGAGATGTAAAAAGTTGCAAGTCTCTGTTATGGAGATTTTTAGTTGCTTTAGCTTTAGCTTTCTTTCCCATGTAACTCTTCTGAATTTTGTTTTATCTTTTCCGAAGGCTACAGAATCTGAATTCATGCGTATTTCCTTCATCTACTAAAAACACATCGATCAACGTCGCTATTTCACTCGGCACCACATCACAGCAAGTTCGCAACTGGGCTGAGCACGCAGCTTACCTTCTTGAGTATGACCTTCTCCTTGTACCTGTCGTCGTTCTGGAGGCTCGTCCTGGCCCTGCCGGACCGTTCCTCCACGACGGCGCCGTTCTTCGGCACCACGGCGCCGGCGTACACCACCCCGAAGGAGCCCTCCCCGATGCGCTCGCCGACGACGAAGTCGCTCATCTTGAGGCTCCGCCGGCCCAGCACGCTGTCCAGCGCCAGCTGCAGCGGCGCCAGCACGTACGTGTCCACGGCGCCGCTCAGCACCCCGGGCCGCGCGGTCAGGTACAGCCACGTCGCGGCCAGGAACCCGAACAGCGCCCACCGCTGCGCGTCCGACAGCCCCGACGTGAGCGCGTCCAGGCGAGACAGCGCGCCGCCCGCCGCGCGCGCCACCGGGTTGGACGCGTCCAGGTGCAGCAGCGCGCTCAGGAGCCCGTCGGGGATGGCGGCCGCGCCAGCGTCGCTGCTGGCCGCCGCGCTGGACGCGTCCACGCCCAGGAACTCGTTCACCGCCCCGGCGGCGGCATTAGTCGCGTCTCCCACCGCCGGTCCGGTGGCGGAGGGTTCCAGTGGCAGCGCGGTCACGAGGTCGTTCGGTGTGACACCCGCGCTGGCGTTGCTGGTCACCGTGTCGGACGGGTCCGCCTGCTGCAGCGACCTCTTGAGCTCGTCCACTAAGGACGCCCAGCCATCGTCCGCACCATCGCTGCTGGTGGCGCCGCACCTGAAGATCAGCCTCTGGGCGTGTGGCTTGGCGCCGAACGGGTGGAGGAGAGTTGGGTACTTGTTGACGAGAGTGGCCGCGGGGGGCAGGAGGGAGGCGGCCATGGCGAGGAAGGCGCTCTCATCCCATGGGGGAGTCGAAGGCAGCCGAGCACGCGGGAGAGGGAACAGGGGAGACAGTGGGACACAGAGGGCGGGCGCGCGTGTGGAGTAGGGAGCAGAGGCTGCGAGGTGTGCTACGTGGCAGGCAGCAGCTTGTAGCGTTTGTTATCCAAAGGAATTATGGGCCGACGAAAAGAATAGTGTATATATTGGGCCTTGGGATAAAGGATATTGGGCCTGATAGCACGTAATTCATCTTCATCTGTTCTCTTCGACCTCGGAGCGGAGCAAGCAAAATTCTCCCAACAAAATAAATAAATAAATAACAAAGGGCAGAAACCTAGCAAGAGCCAAGAGGACTTCCCCTCCGGTCGTCCGCCACCACTGCCTCTGCTTCGTTCTCCCCAGGCTACAGGCGGCGAGATGAGGTGGTCACCTGCGAGCGCAGAGGCCTCCGACCCGCCGCCTGTTCGACAGAATGCCTCCAGGGAGAAGAGGGAAGAGGGCCAAGAAAGCGCCGAGGGAGAGCGGCGCCAGCAGCATAGAATCCTTGCCAGACGGTGTCCTTCAGCACATCCTCGGTTTCCTCCCGGCGCGGGACGCTGTGCGGTCGTGCGTGCTCGCCCGCCGCTGGCGCGACCTCTGGATGTTCGCGACAGGCCTGCGCATCACTGGCAATGGCAACGAAGACGGCATGAATGAGCTCCGGGAGTTCGTGGACCATCTCCTCCTCCCCCGCGGAATCGCGCCTCTAGAAACATGCGAGCTCAGGTTCACAGATATGGTCGATACATTCTCTGACGACGACACTCTTCGTGTGAGCCTCTGGTTTCAGCATGCTGTGCGGTGCCAGGCTCGAGTCCTCCGGTTGGTAGTGGCATCTGAATATTGTTTTGATCTAAATGGCCTGCATCTCGTCTCCAGGCACTTAATGCAGCTAGAGCTTGTTGGTGTACAAGTGAAGGAAAATTTCCTTATGTGACTGTCCAGCACTGGAACAACTAGAGATTGAGAACTGTCATTTGGCTGATGTCAACAAGATCTCCTCATCTGAATCCCAACGCCTAAGTGGCACTAAATGTGCATTCAGTGAAAACTTCCGCACAGGTATTCATGCCCCCTCTCTGGTTTCACTGCTGTTAGATGACAATTGGTTTAACACTCCAGTGCTTGAGAGCATGCCATCATTAGTGGATGCATCTATCAGAATCGCCCAAAACAATGTGGACAACTGTGATAATTGTGACTCAGGGGATTGTAACATCTGTCATGGTATCATACACAGTAACAGCAACTGCATTCTTTTGGAAGGTTTATCAAAAGCCACTAACTTAGCATTGATAGCTGAATCGAAAACGGTATGTGCGACTTTTGTCTTGAACTCATTCTTAAATCATAATTAGCCCACATTAATAAATGCACTTAGACAGGTTTTTCGTATGCATCACTACTATTTGCAGTTCTTCAATTAAAACAATTGCATTCACATTGATAATTGCTTAGATAAATGGAATTACCAATTAATTAGCCTTTTGTGTTTTCATTTCATTCAGTTTGTCTTCAGGATGGATTTGAAACGGTGTCCTACATTTAGCAAATTGAAGACACTGTTACTCAGTGATTATTGGTGTGTAGCTCTTGATTTGGACGCCATAACTTGCATTCTCAAGAACTCGCCACTTCTAGAGAAGCTCACTCTTGAACATTTTTTAAAGGTATGCATTTTCGAATTGACGATTGTTGCTTTTTTTAGTTATTATACATCATTGGTTGATCCTAGTGAAATGATTGTTTACTACAGGGATCTCAGCATATGGAAATGAAAGGAAGCTACATTCCAGGACAAAGAATAGATGCAATCTCAGAACACCTTAAGATAGTAGTGGTGAAATGTGGTGTGGTTGATGAGAAAGTTTACAGAGTTTTGAAGCTCCTGTCTGAATAGGCAGAGCATGGCTCCCGACCCGCCGCTCCACCACCGCCCGCCGCCGCTGCCGCTCCAGGCGCCGTCGCCCACGCTCCTCCGCAGATCGGCAGCGTCTCGCGCTGATCCGCTGGTCCCCATCCACAGCCGCCCACCGGAGCTGGAATTGGATGAAGACGACGCCGACGAGGTGCTGGTGGTGGATTCGCCACCACTGCTGGCCCGGCCGGGCACCACCCAAGCGCCTCCACCACCGGAGATGCTGCCCAAGTTGCTGCGCCATCAAACATGTATTGACCCCAATTCCCATCCAGCAAGCTCCAGTTCGCCGGTTCCCTCTCCAGATCCGCATTGGCAATTTTTCTTCGATTCACCACCGCCACCTCCTGAAGGGAAGCCTCCCTACCTCGACGAGGTAGAGTTTGTGCCGGCCACGCCGGACCCTTCCGATTCCTCGGGCCTCTCTGGAGCTTCTCGGGCCAAACCACAGCTGCAACTGGCTCGGAAGCGTGTCACCTTTGAAATTCCTGCGCCCCAGCAGCAACAAGATCCAAAAGCTGCTTCTGATAGAGTTCTGCCTGCCTCTCCACCCTCCTACGCCGATGTTGTCCGTCGCCCACAAGCTGTGTCAAACATTCGTGATCAAGCAGGGCACCTGAAGCTAAAGTCAGTCATTGTTGCGCCCAATCCACTGAGTCACGGGATCCCATCTTCTTCAGAGAAAGCTACATCGCACCTGAAATGGGTCGAAGTCAAGAGTCCATACTGGTGGAGGAGGGACAAGCATTCAAGCTGCCAGCCAGCCATAGATCAAAGAAGACGAGATGCAAGCAATTCCAGGAAGCACAATTCACCCCCAGACACTCGCTCCTCGGCTTTTCGGCTGTTTCAGGCGAGAACAAAAGGAAGATGCTTCCGTTGTCTTTCTAGAGACCATAGGGCATCTGTTTGCAGGGACCCTGTTCACTGCTTCGTCTGCCACCGTTTCGGACACAAAGCACATTTATGCCAGGACAACCTTCAGCTGCAGCGTTATGTGGCCGCCACCGTGCCAGGCATAACCTCAACAACTACAAAGCGCCAATTCAGGGAGAGCGATGCCCATGCTGACCACCACAGCGCACGGGATGGACGCCATTTCAGGGAGAGCAATGCCTACGCTGGCCACCACAATGCACGAGATGGAAGTATGGCTCGTGGTCTGGGCGACCATGGCCGAGGCAACAATCACATCGGCGCACGCGATTGTGGGGGTGGCAGACACGGCCATGGAGATGACCGCAGATCACATGAACACGGCTAATGCTACAAGGACGTCCGCTCGGTTGTTGACATGAATCAGCAACCGCACGACCGGTGTTCAGACAACAGCGAGAACCATGATTTTAGTGACAACCTCAAACAAAACAGGGTTGAAGAGCTACTGACGCAAGGAATGGCCACTATTCAGGACAAGCTCATGGCACTAATGGTGATCCTGTGTAACAACCTCAACGCTTGCCTCGCTGGGCTGGTAAAGGAGCAAGTCCTGCCTGCACTTGCAGCCGTCAATTCAAAGCTGAGTGGAGCACAAGTAGTACACAGTCATACTTTGGATCCAACCGCAGCACAAGACTCACAGGCTGCAAAGGACATGAACTTCTCACCCAAGCTGACAATGGGAGGCCCTATGAATGCTGGGAAAGAAGCCTCAACCGGCAACATTTGTACAAATTTGGTGAGAAATGCGGCTCTAATCCCAGTGGCCAACATCTTCAAGAGAATCCTGTCAGCTATTCCTACAGAAACCAACACTGTGCATCAAGCCCCTTCTGCTGCTGCTTTGTCGGTGGATGCCGTGGATCAGGCTCTGCTTCAATTTGGCTTGATTGAGGACTCGGCCATTGTCTATCAAGGTCCACTCCCCGCTTCGCCAACCATCAACGCATCAGCCGCTGACTTTCACCAGCTCTTTGAAGGTTTAGCTCCTGACTTTGCAGAGCAAACTTACAACAACCCTGCCAACTCTAGGCACCAAGATACTGCAGCAGTCCACGACAATAGCACGTACAGCCTCTTCAGCAACTCACCACAGTTGGTGTGCCCGGCCCCTGCTCCCCAGCTCGGCAACATTGGATGCAGCAGCGCAACAACAGCCCAAGGGAAGAACTTATCCAACCTCTTCAACAATCCGCCTGAACCAGTACTCCAGACCCCTGCTCCGAGTACGGTTCCAGCACCTGCGGCACCCCCACGACGCCGAAATCGTCTCGTATTTGATATGTCCTCAGTTCGGTGTAGTGCACGCCTATCCAGCAAAAGACCGTTGACACAGATGCAGCATGCTCAACGTAACATGTGCCGCAAGTTGGGAATTCTCAATGAACTTGAACCAGTTGAGATCGCTCTGCAGGAGTATATGGCAATGTTCAGTGGTCCTCTTCCTGCTGACATCATTGCTGCTCTGACTGCAATATTCAACCTGGAAGAAAGTGTGGACACTGAGCTGGATGATGCCCTCATCGGCTTGGCAGGTGAGGGGGTGGGTGACATCCAGGAGGCTGACCAGGCTGCTACCTGATGGCATGTAGTGCAGCTGATCGCAGAGTTCAAAGCCTTTTATCATGAATCGACAACTCGTGAGCCAACATTTTAGAGGACTGGGCGTGCTTGGTCTTGCCACTTCAAGTAGTATTGTTCAAATTACTCCTGCTGCGTTATCCTACCTACACACTTGCTTCTACATCTGTGTGCCTTCACTGCTCTATGACAGAACCACAACTTGATTTGCTTAGCTGGAACGTCCGTGGCTTCAACCGCCAAGATAGAAAGGACACAATTCATCAAATAGTTGTGGCCACACGCTGCCACATAGCCTGCTTGCAAGAAACAAAGCTTAGCCTAGTGGATCAACACACAGCAGCCTGTTTAGGCGGGTTTCGGCTGAGGAATTTTGTGTACAAGCCAGCTGGTGATGTGCTTGGCACTCAGGGGAGGAATCCTCATCCTTTGGGATGATAATGTAGTTGACTGTGCCAACTTCGTGCTAGGGGAGTGGTTCATTTCAGCGGATGTGAGTATCAAGGAGTGCTCGACAAATTTTCGTTTAAGGGTATGGCCCAACAAAGCATAGAGCTCGACAACGGTTCTTGGAGGAACTAAGAACGCTGAAGCCTGATCCTAACACCCGGTGGTTAATCCTCAGTGACTTCAACCTAATATACAAAGCGTCGGATAAAAACAACAATAAGATAAACCATCGGCTTATGCAACAATTCCGTGATGCCTTAGATGACTGCGACCTTTCAGAGATTCACCTGCAAAATCGCAAATTCACATGGAGTAATGAACGACGCAACCTGACTCTCACCAAGCTTGACAGAGTATTTTGCAACGCCAATTGGGATATGACTTTCCACTCCCATGTCCTACATGCCCTTTCCACCTCCTTGTCTGACCACTGCCAGCTTCTTCTCTCTAATAAGAATGGTCCTAGGCGACCTAGAACTTTCAAGTTCAAAAATTTCTGGGCGGCGTTGCCGGGCTTCAAGGAAATTGTGGAGTCATCCTGGTGCACCATGACTGAACATCACGAGCCGTTTCACATCCTTTATCACAAGCTTCTAGTCACCTCAAAAAAATTGAGAGCTTGGAGCAAGGAAATTATTTCTGATGTTAGAAAGCGGCCCATGAAGTCGTTCTTCGGCTGGACATAGCACAGGAAAATGGAGTTCTCACTGAGGAGGAGCTTAACCTCAGAGCCAAACTCAAGAAAAGAATCTTGGGGCTAGCAGTAATCGAAAGGGTCAGACGTAAGCAAGCCTCACGGATCACTAATATCAAGCTGGGAGATGCAAACACAAAATATTTTCATCGTATGGTAAATGCGCGGAGAAGAAAAAATCACATTCAAAGGCTTCGCAAAGGGCATGGCTGGGTGATCGCACATGATGAGAAGGCGTTGGTCATCCAGGATCACTTCACACAAGTAATGGGCCGACCTCCACAACGACAAAGCGACATTAACTGGGAAAGCCTCCAGTTACAAACACATGATCTGAGTGACTTGGATGTGCCTTTCACAGAAGAACTCAAAGGCGCCATACAACAAATGCCCTCAAATAAGGCAACTGGGCCTGATGGGTTCACCGGTGCCTTTTTTAAGCAATGTTGGGACATAGTCAAAGCAGATGTTCTAAATGCTACAAATGTCTTCCATTTGCTAAGAACTACCAATCTGCCCCTATTGAACTCTGCAAACATCATCCTGCTGCCCAAGAAAGATGGTGCAGACTCCATTAGTGATTTTCGGCCTATCAGTCTCATTCATTCCTTTGCTAAAATAATCACTGAAGTACTAGCGTTGCAACTTGCACCACATATGAACAAGCTGGTCTCTCCGAACCAAAGTGCCTTCATTAAGAGAAGAAGCATCCATGACAACTTCATGACCGTCCGCAATGCAACAAGGCGTTTCCATAGGAGCAACACTCCAACCCTTTTTTTTAAATTAGACATCACAAAAGCCTTTGACTCGGTGCGCTGGGAGTATCTACTCAACCTCATGCAGAAACTTGGTTTTCCTTCTAGGTGGTGAGATTGGATTGCAGCTTTGCTCTCAACTTCCTCGTCACGGGTTCTACTCAACGGAGTACTGAACGCGCCAATTAAACATGGTAGAGGTCTATGGCAAGGAGATCCGCTCTCTCCCTTGCTCTTCGTGCTTGCCATCGACCCTCTTCAGAAGCTAATTGAGCTAGCTACTGAACTTCAAATGTTAACAAGGTTGCGCGGTAGGACAGCCACCATTCGTACTTCAATGTATGCTGATGACACGGTGATCTTTGTCAACCCAGTTAAGGAAGATGTCACCAGCCTGGCCAACATTTTAGATAATTTTGGTGAAGTATCAGGCCTCCAAACCAATTTCCAGAAGTCAACCGTTGTCCCGATTCGCTGCGAGGCCATTAATCTTGAGGATGTCCTTTCAGATCTTCCAGCAAAAAGAGGTCATTTTCCAATCAAATATTTGGGTTTGCCCCTTTCACCTAGAAGGCTCAAGCGGGTTGATTTCCAACCTCTCATGTGAATAAGCTCACCTTCTAGAACGGGCGGCACATCAACCATACTGGACGCATGACCCTCGTTAAATCTGTCCTCACCTCACAGACTGTGTATTCCTCACCTCCTTGCGGGCACCAAAAGCAACACTAAAGGAAATTGATTGCAGACAGAAACAATTGCTTTGGGCTGGGTCAGAAGCATTAACTGGAGGCAAATGCAAAGTGAACTGGCCGCGTTCCACTAGACCCAAAGACTCTGAAGGGCTTGGAATTCTGCACTTGGGGAAATTTGCTAGGGCCCTGCATCTTCGATGGTTGTGGAAAGAATGGGACGAAGAACAACAATTGCAAATTGGGCCGGATAACCCATGCACAAATAATGACAAGCTATTATTTGCAACGGCAACTTCAATTATTGTGAGAGACGGCGACAATATTTCCTTTTGGCACAGTTTCAGGGTCTTCGCCCTTGTGATTTTGCACCCAGCGTCTACAAGTTATCTAGAAAGAAGAATAGATCATTGAAAGGTGCCTTAGACAACAACAACTGGATCTGTGATATCAACCTTCAACACCCAGGTTTCACCGCCCAAGTCTTCATTGAATATACGCAATTGTGGCGTGCAGTTGCGCAGCTGCAGCTGCAACCAAACTCAAGGGACGGAATCACCTGGAAGCTAACCAAAGATGGGAAATACTCAACGAGCTCGGCTTACAAGGCTCAATTTCTAGGCACCTGCAAGATAAATTTTTGCTCCCTTATCTGGAAGACTTAAGCACCGCCAAAGTGCAAATTCTTCGGTTGGTTAATTTTACAAAACAGAGTTTGGACGTCGGATCGCTTGGCTGCCCGTAATTGGCCAAACTCCGGAAATTGCCCATTGTGTTGTCAGTTGCTAGAGTCCGGCTTGTATCTTTTCCAAGATTGTCGTTTCACTAGACGGTTGTGGGAAGGCATTGTAGTGTGGGTTGGTGTACCTGGTCTACTACCTGTCAACTGGGTCCATGGCGAAAGTGTCCTCGAACGGTGGAGTAGTTACAATGGGCAACTACCTGTCAAATGGGCACTTGGGCCATCGGCCCGTTAGGATTAGTTATAGATTGATGGATGTTATATTAGACAAGTAGATCCGACGGTGGTCATACTTCACTAAACCAATCTAGGGTCCTGCTTGCCTATATATGTAACATTGCCATTGGTCTCCTAATCAATCTATCAATTTTCCATGCAATACTCTGCTTTCATGGTACCAGATGACTAGGTTTTCTTCCGCTGCCCAAGCTCTTGCGCGCCCCCTGGCTGCGCATCTTCCTCGCACGTGGATCCCTTTCCCGCTGCGACCATGCTGTCCTCCCTGCTCCTCAGGACGATGTATCCCGCACCCGTGCTCCGGAGGCCGAGCGTGCCCCCACGACTACACTTGAGGAGGAGCATGAACGTGCTGCTGCTTTGGAGCACCAATGGGCTGCCGCCGCCGCTGCAGCGCGCCGTGCCACCCGCGAGGCCGCCCTCCAGCGCATCTAGGCCACCGAACAGGAAGCCACGACCACAGCCTAGGAGCGTGACTCTGCCACCGCGCGTACCCGCGACACGCTCGCCCACGCTGTCGTGTAGCACCCGGTTTTAAGAACAAAACCAGATACACACCATATGTGAGCCCAGGAAGTCTAATATCAATAGACAATGCTTAAATACGCAACGTATTAGTATAAAGAATATAACCTCAGAGTATAGACAGCGGAAAGATAACTCCGATCTTCAGGCGAGGACTCTAAATCCACAGGGACAACTGACTGGTTGATCACAAGCCTAATTCCTCCATACTCTAGCAATCTGATATCCATCCGGGATTTTTATCCAAATAATTGAAAATAAAGCAAGCGTAAGTACATGTCGTACTCAACAAATATAACATGGGGTTCATGAGGCTCAAAAGGCTGACACTGGTTCACTGCGATTAGCTTTTAATGAGTCATGATTTTAGCAATTGAGTAGCAACAAGTTTATCATAAGCCCATAAACACATGATCAGGTAAACATGAATAATGAATAGCATAAACAGTTAACCGTTAGTGAGCATCTTCATCATTAGTATCATCAGTGTCCATCATCTATTCCGTAAATGTTCCAAGGCCGCTCGTGACCGTGAGCACGGCTGATATACCAATTTTACACTCTGCAGAGGTCGTACACTTTCACTGTGAGTCATGATTTACCCTTTCGCCCGAGGCGGCTAACCTCTTGACCCACTACCAAGGAAGGTCGGCAGGGTTCACTATGAAGCCTTTTAAAGGTTCGTCTAACAAGTTAGGGCCATTAGATTCACTCGGCAAACAGATGTAGAGCCCCCCTTCCCGATGGCACATTGACACGCAGCCTATACACATGGGGATAGAGGCCGCTCTATACCCGATTCGTCAAGCCATTCTTACGCCAATAAAGGTAACCACTAACAAGCTAGAAAAGGTCCTCATACTGAGCTAAAGCCAGAGCCATATAGCCCTCACAGCTGTACTG